GTCGGTCGCTCCGGCTCCTTCGCAGCCTGCTCCGGGGGCTGGGAGCTCATTGCCAGCTCATCTGCCTTCAGCTGCCGCAGGACCTTTTCTCCGGGTGCCTGGATCATTAGTGCTTCAGACAGGCTTTGAGAGGGCCTTTTCCGAGGTCTCGTTTAACAAATGCAGTAACGGACCCGTGGAAATGCGTTAACCTTGTTTCATGAAAGATGTTTGTTAGGTGGTAGGAATTACTCAATTATTTTCTCTCTTGATTTGAAGTGCAAGACTAATTATTTTATATTCATTTCGTTCACAGACGTTCTTAAATGAGATTTATGCCTCATGAAGTCAGTTGGTATCTGTGCTGCAATTCAGTGTCAGCTTGATTTATTTGTTCTTTGCCCGCCTCCCCAAAAAATCCTGTGACCAATTAAGTGAATGTTGTATCTTCTTTTCTTTTTTCCCTTTTCTTTGTTTTTTGTTGAACTACCGAACCGCAGTGCTGGAGGGTGTGTGACTATGTCTGATACTCTCCGTTTCAATAGAGTATTATATCTTAAATTATTTCATATGTTGCAATATTTTACAGGCAACCGGGTTAACAACGTGATAAAGCGCAATGCTTTAATCCCAATAAATACGATATGACGCTCATGCTCTCTTCTTAAAATAAGACCCCTCTGTGGGTTTCTTTGCCTTTTTGTTGTTTCAGATATGCCAGGTAGCCCACACAACCAGTTCACCTTCAGACCCCTCCCGCCGCCGCCCCCACCGCCGCACGCGTGTACCTGTGCCAGAAAACCGCCTGCAGCGGCTGACTCTCTCCAGAGAAGGTCCATGACCACCCGCAGCCAGCCCAGCCCCGCTGCCCCGACTCCCCCCACCAGCACGCAAGATTCGGTGCATCTCCACAACAGCTGGGTCTTGAACAGCAACATACCGCTGGAAACCAGGTACAGAGCAACCTCTTGTACACAGCGTATCCCAAATGTTTAAAAAAAAAAAAGGTGGGGAGAAGGCCTGACGTTGACGTGAGCTGATGATGAGCTCAAGTTTGTCGTTCAGGGCCGGTGCATTTTGATTTGAGGCCATGTCGTGTAGCCACGCGAGGCCTAGTTTACTTGATTCATCTAGATCAACGCTCGTAAAAGCACGTGTTCTGCAAAGTTTTGGAAGGCATCGATTTCCTTAAGGCGCGTAGATTGCCGAGGTATTTTAGAGTTGGTGCGGTCAGGATTCGTGCCTGTGTACTTGTCTCGCCCTCCCACGTTCTCCCAGGGCCATTTTGTAATCAGCAAATTAATCGGTGTGCTCTGGCACTTCTGGCGTCAGTCACTGTTCAGGCTGTAGCTTTCCTGTGGATAAGATAGGAAATGATACTAAAATACTACTTTCCTCAACGCGTATTTAAACACCTTATTGCATATATACACAAAGAATCTAATTTAGTAATAATTTGCTAATGGAGAAATGATACAGGCCCAAGACAGGGATTGAGCATGGAGAGCCTTACCTCTGGGAGCTGGGGAAGGGAGAGTTCAACTTCAGGATCATTCACAATTTACACAAATAATCTACTCTGAAAAATAATTGAAAGCAAATGCATTCTGTATTCAGCAATCCTGTGTTTCAGTACCCAAAGTTCTGCCACAGAGGTAAATACAGAGTTTCCTCTGACTTCTTGGCTATAATAAGCTTTTGTTCCTGATAACTGTTAGCTAATTTGATGGCTTTCAACTCCAGCTGTGTTTGCTGGCTTGATGCTTAAAACAAGCCCTTGATTTTCTACAACCTTCTTCCTCTTCATTGTGAGCAGAGCACCAAGAAGTTTTGACTAGGGTTTGCTTTGGGGTTTGGCATTTTTAAAACATGTAAAGTGCATGACTGTCTGTGAAAGTTGTGTTTGGTGAAACAGATTCATATCTGACCTCCAGCTAATCTGGTCCAGAGAATATAAGGTATTATGCATAGAAATGTTTTATTTTTAATACGCGTATGTCCAAGGGCCAGTTATCACAATTAATTACTGAAACCTAAATTTTGTTCTTTTATAAGAAAGTTCTTTTTATTTTATTAAAAAACTTAATTTTAGTATACAGCTTTAAAAACTGCTGCTAATCAGAAGTGTCAAATTAAGTTTTTCTTCTCTGAAAGACTATTAATTTGGGATTGAAGAATAAGCTGATTCATTCTGAAATAAAACTTTCCTTATTTGTCTTAAGGACAAATCACAAAAAGAATCAAGGAGGATGGAAACTTTTCTCCAAAAGTGAACATGAACAAAATTTTAGTTCAGCTATTCCTTCTAGAGCTAGAAGTCTCTGTTTACATAATTTTATAAAGATAAATCTCTGTCATTTCTGGTGTAACAAGCTTATATATTCTATACTTTCTGCGGCATATAAGGCTGATCCCCGGGCATTCTGTACCCGTTAAGTACCTTTTGGTTCTCTTCAATTAACAGCTAGGTAGATCTTGTTCAGCCTTTCTGCATCCCTATTCACTATATTCTTGTCAGACCTCATTGGGGAAAATGCTTTGCAATTTTAAGTCTCTTTTGAGTTCAGTTTAATTTTTCTGGTTTCTTATTATTTTTGCAAGTTTGAAACTTCTGATAAAGGACAAATACATAGATATATAGTTGTATCTCTAATTACATAATTGGACACTGATGACCGGGCTGTGCGGTGGATTCAGGAATTCAGACTGGAAAACGTACTGCGGGCTACATGGTAGCGGTTCACAAAGTCTGGGAAATTTCCACATTCCTACCCTTCGGTGGTTGTTTCAGCTGATTTCATGCACCCTCTGGTAGCTAGCTGCAGCCTCTTATGAAGCTGGCTGAAAGGCTATTTAATCTGAAAGTGGAATCTGTGAGACCGTTTGCCAAGATGTATCTGCAGTTTCTGTGCAGACAAGTGATATAGCAGGGGAACATTGTAATGAAAAACATTTGTGATCGCTGCTTCCCAGAAGTCTATAGTACACAATACAGCCTTAGAGAAAAAGAAAGGCTGGCAGCCTGGTTTTTTTCTTCCTTTAAAACGGAATGATTCAGCTAGAATTGAATAAATACTTCGGCCTAATACCTGGATTCTCTTGCTTTCCTTCTCCATTAATGTTTAGCTGCCCATTAAAAATAATCCTGCAAAATAAAGGGGAACATGTCAATGGCAGCTGTATTTCTGTGCTAAATCTTTAATAGTACCAAATCTACCTAATATGTACATATCTAGTATGTCTAAGCAGATTTTGGTTTTTTAATTTGGAACATTCGCAATCAAAAAGAAGACTTAGTAATGTATTCCCTAGTAATAACTAGGTGAAAATCAGAATGCACATGTTCAGCTTTTCTTCCAACTGTATCTCCTGTTAATCCATAAACAGCACATGTGTTTGCATGGGTTATCTACAGCCACATAATATTAAAGAATTTTCAGACAGGAAAAGATTTCCTAGAGCTAATCGTGTGACTGTAAATCCTGTTCACTATGGACAGTCAGAAATGAAGCAAGTTTATGAGTCTGCTTATAATGATAATGTGTCATATTTATGTGAAAGAAAATTCTGCAGTTCTGAAAATGTTTTCAATACTCTGATTAAACACATATTCTTATGTAATTAGAATTTGAAACCCTAGATTAGACTGCAAAGGGCTGCAGTAAAGATATGTACTGAGGTGTGTGTTCTGAAAGTTTCTTTTGTGGCATAAAAATTTGTTATATTTTTATAGAAAAGGGCAAATCAGAAATTCTGTTTTGTCCTTCATAGAGGTGTTATATGCACGGTCTAATCCACAAAACAGTTTTGTCAGGACCCAGCTTACTAGCCCAAGTGTTTAATGAGGAGACTGACTTGGAAAGGCAAAATTACTTGTTCAAGTTCACCCAAGCTTTTGGCAAAGCCAAAAATAGAGTCTGGATGTATGTCATTGCCAAGGCCAGTTCTCTAACTCTGGCAGTTATTCTGATGATAAGCAACCCAAATGAAAATAAGAATTAGGAACACCTTTAAAACTTCAGAGGACATGTCATAGAATAGCTGGTGATGAAGAAAGTGGAGAAGAGCCGTACCTGTAGGAGGTGTAAGGGCTCAAACTGCCGACCGACTGCGCTGCAGCCTTCAGCGCGGTAAGGTGCCTGTAAATGCAAATGCGGGCTCTATCTGTATGCATGCACGTACAGTCTGGAAAAAAAACGTATTTATTATTAAAATGACTTATGAACATGAAGTAATTTCATTGTCACACAGAAAAATAATTTGTAAGTATTGCCAGAAAAAGACTGCAAGGAACTCTCACACCACATAAAAACACAGGAAACATCGATTCTCTTTTTTTAGGATAATGTTATTGGGCTCTTACATAAATTGATTTTTTTTTTGTTCTTCTCCCCCAGAATAAAGTAGTTGCAGCCTATTGCCTATTCCCTTCCTTTCCACTAAAATAATTGTTTTTTCAGGCTTCATAGCTACTTTGCTCTAATGTTTCAAATCTTATGATTTACAGTGGAATACATTGTCATTATCTCCAACAGCCCCATCTGAACATAGCTTACTACTTTATATGGAGTATGTATTAAACCCTTAAAATTCAAAGGAGTGTTTGTCATTTTCTCCATGTCCTGTGAGTTGACTCAGTATTTGTTGCCATATCTTGCTTTTTTTGTGAGTTCCTTTTTCTGGTGTTTGCTACTTATTTTCCCACTTCAGTCAAATTACCAAATATAAGAAGAAAAAACGAGATGGTAAATAGGGATTTTTACCTGACATTATTTCTGATCCTCCCTATAGTCCGTTACAGTTCCCTCATGGATAAACCATTGGACACACTTATTTTGAGTAAAGTTTTCCATTTAGATTACCCAAGCATTAGAATTTTTAAGTTTTCTGTCTAAACGTCAAAACTTACCTAATTTTGATTTTGTTTCAAAGTGTTTATTTTTAGTCCTGTTTTGTGCTTCAGTATTTTACGTATCTGCTTGTTCCTTCCTTTTTTAAATCAAATTTCTTTCTAGTTCCTCTAACCCATTTAGCAGTGTTGGCAGTAAGGTTAATGCTGTGCTGAATGGACTGAAATCTCCCTTCGCTGCACTGGCAATGAGCCAAGTACTGTGGAAAAAGACAGCTTAATTTAAGCAATCTTATCACCATGGTAATAGCTCCTCTAAGGGGACAGTGAGGTACCAGACCATGAACCTGAGATTCAATTATCATTAATTTATATAAAACTTTGAAGTACTAGAATAATAAGAGAAGTATTTGGGTTTCAAGGCAGTTACGATTTTTAGTTACTATTCAGCAATATTTCAGAGCCCTAAAGTTTGATTATGGCTCTAAACACTTAAAAACTTTGAGAGTTTTGGAGTTCAAGAAGTTTATTCAGCTCATCATACAGATGGAGTCGTTCCTTTCTGTATTATATAGTTATTTAAGGTGCGTATTTAAGACTATCTGGATTTCTGTTTTCCTATAAATATCATCTCGTTTATAATTCTGTTTAGTATAGGGGAGATCTTGACAACTATCACTTATCAAGAGATTTATTCTGTATTATGGTTTTCCCTTGTTCTTTTTTAGTCAAGCTCATAATTATTTGTGCTCTTCAAAAAGTACATTGATAGCCTTTCAAATCACAGAAACCTGTACGTACTCACTTCCTCTTTAAGCTGGAGCCGTGCTAAAAGCGGAAATAATTAAGGAAAAATGCATATATAAATACACACTCACACGGTTCAGCGTGAGTTCTTGGAAGGTTTATTCATTCGCCTTGGTCTCTTCATTTGAGCATCTTGTGAACCTTGCCCCGATGCCGAGATACAGAAAGCACTTTTGTGCCTTCCTTTTTCCCAGTTCAAGGTTTCCATAGCAAACGGAACAGCTTTTACAGCTCCCGAGGCACACAGGTGTTGATGATCATAAACCACCAAGCAGGGAGACAATTACTATTCGAGCA